CGTTCCGCTTCTAAAAAAGGATGGGAGACGCGTTCAGAAGTTCTACAAGTAGGAAACAGTGTAGTTGAAAGAACATTCTGCCAGCAACTCCCTTTTCTCCAGACAGAATAACACTCCTCGTTCATTTGTCACAATGCGACAGTCATCGCAGTCAAGCGTCGGTTCTTGCAGGTATCCATGTTGAATACTCTCAAACCGGTCTGCTTTCAGCAGGCGCAGGTGAGTGGCGAACCTGCTGTCGAGGGTAATCCGGCTGTTTTCTCTTAGGACACCGTCCGTTGTGTGGATGCGCCTGCAGGTGGATCATCCGCAGATTAGCCGTCTGCGTCCACGACAAATCCGGATTCGGTCCGTCGTCTGAATGCACCATTAGAAACTGTGCGGCACCGGGATTTGAACCACGGACCTTTTGCATGCGAGGTGGATGCTCTAACCACTACGCCATCGCTGCTAAAACTCATCGTCTGTATGTGTGTACAAACATGTCATCATGTATACAAGCATGTCATCAACGCTCAGCCTGTGGAAGTCTCTCATGATTGCCCTACACTGACAGACGGACGCGATTCCCACGATATTTCCAAATGTGCCTGCTTACCTCTCAAAGAAACTACCTCTAAAAAGAAAGACCGCGTTGTAGAATAGAAGTGCGACTCCTAAGCGTAGAAAGGTTGACTCTAATAATAAGGAACTGCACAATGCTAAAACAGACAATCTACAAGTCCAATTAACTGTAACGGTGGCTATAATATCTCGGAGGGCATGATGCAACATGACCCTCCAAGTAAGTACTGCAAGAAACACGTCATTCCAAACGACACAGACAATGTAGCGTTCTTATTAGAACTGTGCTCTGAAAAGTTACCTTTGTGTTAAAGTGATGGCATAAACCCTTCATTGCACGGCATATGTACAGTGGCGCTCAAGATGACTTGCAACACGGAAGCGCCGTGGTTGTAGACACCGCAGCCTACGCTGTTACAACGGGATGAGTGAAATTGCTTTTGCAAGTACCAGCAGTACAAAAAGTTCTCATGATCATTTTTTATGTCTATGCCATTGTGCATTGCTGGTGCTGCTTTTGCAACAGGTAGGATATGTTGCAACTCATATTGGTCGCGACTGTATAGAGTATTCTTGTAAAAAGAGAGGATGTCAATGGCATTACCAATAATAAGGGCCTCCTGTTCGAAATGGATGCCATTATTTCTTGCGAGGGGTTTGAGACAGAAACAAGAACACAAAGCGCGCAAATAAAAACAAAGCACACTTCTTGGAGGGCACAGCCTGACGTGTTGTGGAAAAGCCCAGAATTTAGGTCAATGCTTGCAGTGCAGATTTGTAGGCTGTTGACAAATAAGACGTACTATAAGCGTACAAGACAGTCGAGGTAACCTAACACAGAAGTTGACGCAAAAAGTGTGCAGCTGCACCGGCAAAAGTGCAGCATTGCAAAGTTGATTGATATGTGGGGTTTAACATCTCAAAAGCATTGCAAGGTTGAGCGATTCCATACGAAATGTGTGCAACAGGAGAACGAATCTATAAGTAGCTCTGGTTTTGAGGAATAACTACAAAGCCTGCCAATAAAGCAGCAAGTGCAGGTACGTGAATGCTTTGAAGCATTGAAAAGTAGAAAAACAAATGAATATTTAAATAAGAGTGGATGCTTCAGCACATTGTGATGCATATATGGCGTTTTTCTCATTCAACTGTGAGAGTGTGTCAAAATAAATGTGCTTTTAAAAGCGTGTGCAAAAATACACTTTGCTTTTTGACATGCAAGTTACACAAAATAAAGCATTGAAGTATGGTTGCTGATGCTTCTATGTGAATAGAGACGTCACAGAGAATACTGCAGCATCAAAGCAATAACTGCACGGACGTTGTTTTGATGCCAACCTCACGGCAGGTCTATCTTCCAGTGCCTCGGTGTGTGAGTGGCATATGGAGCTAATAAACAAAAAAGTAAGTCAAAACATTAGCTTTAAGTCCAAGTACACACTTTGAAGTGAGCCGCTAGACAAGTGCCTGCTAGTATTTGTTGTAATCTGCATGTTATCGTGAAATAATTGCAGCAAAAAACGACTGCTACATGGGCATGCAGGGGAGAGAGGCATCTCGGAGCCGACAGCAGTGCCGCCGCATCGAGATAAATTCTCGCTCCCTCTCTGGCGCGCCGATGCTGACACCTCTGCTTCTAGCCACCATAGTCTAACCTTGCCCAAAGGTACCACTGCTGATGCTCACAATGGCAATAGAGGCTTTCGACTTCAGTTGCCCATTGCTGCGAGACTTCCACATTTTTTTCTGCTAATGACCGATATATAAGACGAGGGTAGACTTTTCATTGCATATATTTGAAAAAAAAAATCGACCTATATTCAGGTTTTTACGGTAGATACCCAGCCATAGAGTCTGTTTTTTAATGACACAGTACAATAAAAGTGTTTACTAGGGGTGTGCAAATATTTGAGTTTCAAATTCGAATCAAATTATGCCCAATTAAATAACCCAGTACGATTTTCGAATAGTTAGTGCTCTAACTTTCGAAGAATTCAATGAAGTGGATAGCTAAAGCACAACTAAGGCTAATGGTACTAAGCTAGAATCATTACAGTAGGCCTTTCGTTAACATCTTCACCAATATTCTGGTTCAAAAGAAAGTGCATGTTTACTTGAAAGAAAATGATCATTTCAGCATGTTACAAAAAAAAAGAGAGAGCGACAGAAAACTTTAGGGCCGTTCATAACTTTGCTTCCGAAATGAAGGCACCAACTTCTTGCATAGTTTGGTCACATATGCAGTAAGCACCCAGAAGCATCCAGAATTCGGCCCTCTAAACCCTGAGTGATTGGCTTCACATGTGAAAACTTGTTCACGTTGTACAGTTGCCACTGCCATACTACACCACTCATTCAGAAATTTCTATCATTCTAGTAAGCAGTTTAAGCTTTGCTGTGAATAGGAGCCCAGATTTTTTGGGCCCAGATCACCATGCCGATGACTAGCTACAGTACTCCTTCTGTTAGCTGTTAGGATGTTAGGAGTGGCATTGCTGACTGGAATGGCAGCTGTTCCAATAAAACACATTTGCAGGCCCATAAAAGCTGAAATAGAGCCCACTCCTCCCCCCCCCCCCCCCAAAATAGCGCATAATAAAGCCACGAACACTCCACAGCATGCCAAATTTTTTCGTTCGCCTGGCTGTACCTGGTGACACAAGTATCTTGTTAGTGTACTATTCGATATTCGATTTGACATGTTTGGTCACTGTTTGACACTATTCAATTGCGATGAAACTTCACTATTTGCACACACCTAGTATTTACTGGTAAAATTCTGGAACATAAAAAGCCCTAGGTTATCAAAATCATCAGTATGTCCACTGTGCCATTCTACATCAAGAATAAATAAAACTTGCACTTTTGGGAGTGAGGAATAATTCTTTCCACATGTGCACTTGAAGGGACAGTAGAGTAAAATAGGCCAAGTTATTCTGGCAGGTTATATCAATGTCTCATGGTTACTATGACTGTAACTTGGCCTAATATGGATTGAATTTCTTGATGATGATTGGCTCTGTTATGCATACTGCAGAATGGCACAAGCCACTGTTTGAAATTTGAACACCATTTCACTTAACTGCAATCATCAGAGCACTCATGTACCACTACTTCAATTAAATCTTGAACTAACAAAACCCAATTTAATGAAATTCCCAATCTAACGATGAAACTTGCACACCCCAGCAGGTACCCATCAAGGTTCAATGTTGTCATCGACATGATTAAAGTAATCTGGCTGTGACTTTACTTAATTAAACTTTTCCTTAAATAAGTCAATAAAATTTGGCAATTTCTTTTTAATTTTGATACAGGCATAGTTTTCAGGTGTGTGCTCTAACACTACCAAGTTATAATGTGAATTGGCCCTAGTCATGACCCTAGCTTTATTTTGACAAGGCTGCAGACCGCGGCATTTCACCAAACAACCAACCTACTCACTCTAAAGTACCAGATCACGCTAGGGGTGGTTTATTGTCCCAGTGAAACGCTTCCACAAGAACACTACAGTGGTTGCTTTGCTTTGTGAAAGACAGCATTGATTGTCTAGTTCCAAGTTTCTTGGTTGTCAGTCGGCTTGCACAGACACTGCTATCATTCTACTTGTCTTCATATGATACACAGCTTGACACAACAGTCTACTTGGTCTGCATCGCTCAGACAGTGGAGGCTCCATGTGTGAGCTCCCCTTATGCACTTTCCAAATGTACATGCGTGGATTAGTGACAAAGACAATGCCAGGGTAGGCTTTGAGTGTTGCTACATTTATAGTATTAGATTATAAAGAATAAAAAAATTCGAATTCAGCTTTTATGAATTTCTCAATTCAACAAAACCATTTGAGTGTAATCATCACTTAATTAATTAAATATAATTTTAAATGTATTATACTTCTACAATACACTAGTTATTCATAACAACAACAAAGCACTTATGAGTAAGACTGTAAGACAATTGAAGTGGTAACACCTATTTGGGACAATGGTACCTATTACGTGACGTCAGCAGTGGCTGATCGAAAAACAGTACACAGACAAGTCATATGTAGGTTACACCAACTTGCCTCCTTAATGAAAGTGAGAGCATCTGTGAAACTTTTAGCTGCAATTTTCCATGTAACAAAGCCTATCATGAAAAGCCTATCATAATTTTCTGTACTGGTGCACAGAAAATTATGATGTGTTCTTCACTGAATCAGCTGTTAATATAAAAATTACTTGATTAACTTTCTTTACGTGAAGCTTGGCACCATAATACTGTACATGGCTACCAGGCATTAGCTCTGCAGCCTCTACGGTTTCTAAACTTCCTTTCACTTAGCCCACATTAGGGGCAATATGCTTTGTAGTGAAAGCAGCAGTTATTACGGTTACCAGGTGATAAATCCATCCAGATTATCTGCACTATATGTACATTTAAGCACAGAGACTCACCAATGGCATTTGAAATAGAGCTGCTTTCAGTTGCCAAGTCCTGAAATGAAAATAGCATAATTTATGCATTTATCTTCACGCAGAGAGCAATCAGCACAAATCCAAGCAATTTAAACAGAAATGTTGCTAGAGAGATGTCGAAAAGTACATAAATAACATTCCCACTTCATAAAAACAAACAAAAAAGTGCACAAATAGGAAGACATACAACTGAGAATGTAACTGAGAACTTTATAGCTAATATGGACATAATTTAAAAGTGAGGAGACAAACCCAATAAATAAGGGGGGGAGAGATGTGGACATGAGCCAACTACTTTCCCCCCTGTCTACCGTTGCTTTTTGTATTTGACACATGCGCATCAATCGTATTTTTATATTTGGCAAAGGGCAAATAGCATTTGGCACATGCACATCAATCAATTACCCTGAAGAGCTGTACATGCATAAACTAGTTTGATTTGCAAAAGTGGAAGGCAAAACACTAACATTAAAGCAGCTCCAAGCATAAAAAGCTGCTACATTTAAGTAAGTATAATCGTGATGATACGAATTTTACGGTTGCTTCGGATGGACTATGTTGCATAAAATGCACCGTGAATTGGTGTTATATGAACGGTTTTCCCAGCAACCGCGGATGATACGAACGCGGCATTGACCGCTGCATGCGAGCAGTGCAACAGGGCTTGTCTGTGGGGAGAAGGCCGGTTCACACTTGGCCTTGAAGGGAGCAAATGAGCAAATGCGGCAAACCCGTGAAGAATCCGTGAAGAATCCGTGAAGAATTTGTGAAGAATTTCTCTCGATTTGTTGCCAGAAAAGTGGCCAGAAACCATGCTGTGAGGTCGAGGCGAAAAAATCGGTCCCAGACCCATTCTACCGCCACGCGATAGCAAGTCGTCTTTCTGCTATGACTTTGGCTACACCGGCTGCACTAGCTCTCAAACTACATCATAGAGTTAATATATTGTCGCGGTACAGCGCGAACCAAAGGCAGATAAACGTTGACACAGTGACTCTCAGCAGCCGAACAGCAAGATCGCCTTCTTTATCTTCAATCAGCCAGAGCTCCACTACCTGGTGTGCGCCAAATCCCCTTATCGTCGTTTTGGTCCACCAGTACACACGCGTCATTTGCCCCCCCTTTTATTGAGCATCGCCCCGATGCTAAACCAGTAGTGCAGTTTTTTTTTTGTCTGTTCTTTAAGAAGTGTCTTGCGCAGTCACTACCTTTCATAAATAAGGCTTCATGCGCACAACGTGAACTAGTTCAGGACGGTGCTGGCGAAGCGTCGTACTATATGAACTGTCGGGGACGACCTCGTAAGTAACATCACTCAGTCGTCGCAGTACTAGATATGGCCCAAAGTATTTCCTTAGGAGCTTTTCAGAGAGCCCTCGTTTCCGTATGGGCGTCCAAACCCATACTTTGTCGCCGGTCTGGTAAGCAACTGTTCTGCGGGGAGAATTGTAGCGGCTCGCGACGTACTCTTGTTGTTGCTAGATTCGCAGGCGTGCTAGTTGCCTTGCTTCTTCCGCTCGTTCTGTAAACATCTCGGCGTCCGGTTCGATGTCGTCGCATTTGTGCGCTAGCATCGCATCTAACATGGTTCGTACTTCCCTTCCGTGAATTAGGCTGAACGGGGTCATCTAGGTTGTTCCTTGCTTGGCAGTGTTGTATGCAAACATGATATATGGCAAGATTTCGTCCCAATTTTTGTGTTCGACGTCTACGTACATTGAAAGCATGTCTTCAATTGTTTTGTTCAGACGCTCTGTAAGCCCGTTCGTTTGCAGGTGGTAGGCGGTGGTCTTACAATGGGTTGTTCCACTCAGCATGAGGACTTGTTCCAAAAGAGCTGCTGTAAATGCTGTTCCTCTGTCTGTGATTACGACGCTTGGTGCACCATGCCGCAGGAAAACGTTCTCGATGAAAAATTGTGCCACCTCCGCTGCTGTAGCTCTCTGGATAGCCTTTGTTTCAGCATAACGGGTAAGGTAATCAGTCGCGACAATAACCCAGCAGTTCCCAGCAGTAAAAGTAGGAAGTGGGCCCAAAATATCCATGCCAATCTGGTCGAATGGTGTTCTTGGGACCTGCACGAGCTGCAGGAGGCCAGCTGGTTTAGTCGGCAGTGACTTCCGTCGCTGGCAGTCGAGGGAAGTACGAACGTGGTGTTTTATGGCTAGTCTTGGCCAGAAGTAGCGCTGCCGCACTCTGGCCAACGTTCTTGTGTAACCTAAGTGGCCTGAAGTCACCTCGTTGTGGCATGCTTCGAGTACTTCGGAGCGAAGGGCTGCTGGGATGACGAGCAAATACGCAGATCCTGTCGAAGAGAAGTTTCTTTTGTATAGTACTCCGCTCCGTAAGCAAAATGATGACAGCGCTCTTACGAAAACAGTTGGTGCCTTCCGAGATCTTCCCTCCAGGTAATTAATTAGGGCAAGTAACTCAGGGTCGCCACGTTGTTGCTGTGCAATAGCGGTTGAGTCAAGCACACCGAGAAATGCTGTTTTCTCCTCATCAGATAGAGTCGCCGATTCAATGGGTGAGCGGGATAGACAGTCGGCGTCCATGTGGCGCTTTCCTGACTTGTGTACGACAGTCATGTCGTACTCCTGCAGCCTGAGACTCCAACGCGCTAATCTACCGGTAGGATCTTTAAGATTTGTCAACCAACACAGTGAGTGGTGGTCGCTGATGACTTTGAAAGGGCGGCCATATAAATACGGGTGAAATTTTGTGACCGCCCATACCACGGCGAGGCATTCCTTCTCAGTCATGGAGTAATTAGTCTCGGCGCGTGTTAGTGTTCGGCTTGCATAGGCGATTACTCTTTCTGTGCCCTCTTGCAGCTGCACAAGCACAGCTCCCAAACCAATATTGCTGGCATCAGTGTGTAGCATCGTTGGGGCTTTCTCATCAAAGTGGGCAAGCACTGGAGGCGTCTGTAGTCGCTGGCGGAGGTTCTTAAAAGCAGCTTCCTCTTCGTTGCTTTATTGGAAAGCAACGTCTTCTCTCGTGAGGCGGGTCAACGATGATACGATGCGTGCGAAATCCGCGATGAATCGCCTATAATACGCACATAGTCCGAGGAATCGTCGGACAGCCTTCTTATCAGTCAGCATCGGGAACTGTGCAACAGCTGCGATCTTTTCAGGATCAGGACAAACACCTGCGTGACCAACAACATGGCCAAGAAATTGCAGCTCTTCATAGCAAAAGTGGCACTTTTCAGGCTTCAACGTCAAGCCCGCAGACCGTATGGCTTGTAAAACTGCCTCAAGTCTTTTAAGGTGCTGGTCAAATGTTGCGGCGAAAACTACGACATCATCAAGATAGACCAAGCAAGTTTTCCACTTCAACCCAGAAAGTACGGTATCCATAAGTCTTTGAAAGATAGCAGGCGCTGAACATAAACCAAAGGGCAAGACTTTAAATTCATATAAGCCATCTGGTGTCACAAAAGCAGTCTTCTTGCGGTCTGTTGGGTCTACCTCGATTTGCCTATACCCACTCCTTAAGTCCATCGATGAAAAGTAACGAGCATGTCGAAGTCTGTCGAGAGAGTCATCTATACGAGGAAGTGGATACACATCTCTCTTTGTCACCTGATTGAGTTTTCGGTAATCTACACAGAAGCGCAGGCTGCCATCTTTTTTTTTTAACGAGGACTACAGGTGACGCCCAGGGGCTTTTTGAGGGTTGAATGACGTCACCTTCTAGCATTTTGTCGACTTGCTCTTGTATCACTTCGCGTTCCTTTGCAGCCACGCGATAGGGGTTTTGGTGAATTGATCTCGCCATGTCCTCGGTAATTATTCGATGCTTGGTTAGAGGCGTGCGGCCAACTCTTGATGTTGTCGAAAAGCAGTCTTTGAATTCGGCCAGTAGCTCAAGAAGCCTCTTTCGCTCGTTCTTAGGCAAAGTAGTGCTAACGTCAAGAACTGGTGTCGAATCAAGTTTTGGCGCCTTGTCGACTACTGCCAAGCAGCCTTCAGCGTCTGTGATATCATCGAAGTAAGCGACGGCCATGCCTTTTGGAAGGTGCCGGCGCTCATCACTAAAATTTGTCAGAAGCAAGTCCGTGCATCCAGCGGCGACACTGACGATACCTTTTGCGACGGAAATGCCGTGTGTGAAGAGGAGCGAGGTTATTCGGTCTGCTACTCCTTCGCCGTCAAACTGGACAGTGGCTGCCACAGAAACAAGCGTGCATGACCGAGGGGGGAGAACCACATCGTCATCAGTTAGACGCAATTGGTTTGGTCGCGCCTGTGTACAATCAGGTGCGCCCGAACTGTTGCGGAATGTAATCAAACTGTCTGGGATATTGATGACGGTGCCGTACTCTCGTAAGAAGTCCATACCAATAATTAGATCTTTGCAGCATGCGGCGAGAACGACGAACGACGCAACGAAAGAAGAACCTCCTATGTCAATTCTCGCTGTGCATCTTCCAGAGGGCATCAATAACTGACCACCTGCCGTCCTTATTTGAGGGCCTGTCCACGGTGTCTTCACTTTCTTGAGGCGGATGGCGTGGTCCTGATTGATGACAGAAAAGTCGACACCGGTGCCTTAGTCGGCACCGGTGTCGACTAAGGCTGTTACTTTCTGGCCGTCAAGAAAAACACTCAGGTCCGCGGTCATAATGTCGTCCTTCTCACGTCTTGTCGGATTTACAGCGTCCTGTAATGGGGGCTTTTCGTCGTCATCTTCATGGCCTGCAACCTTAACCCCGGAGGTCGCTGCCCTCAGTTTCCCCGTCGCGGGCTGGGTCACCTTCTTGCGTTAAGTTCCGCAGAGGTACGTCGGTGTGACGAAGATGAATGAGCGGGAGAAGGAGAGCGGGATTGACGTCCCAATTCGTAAAAGTGAGAACGGGCTCCATGGAAAGATGCGTCCTCCCGGCGTGGTATGTATTCTTCGTTCGCACGTCGATCGTCAGACCATGTTCGAAGAGGGCGGAACGAATCACTGCGGTGCCAGCAATGACGGGCAATATGACCTGCACCTCCGCAGTTAAAGCATAGTGGA